CCGTGGTTATCATTCTGTTTCTTTTTGTATGATTAGCGTGTGGTTATGTACATAATAGATGCTTGTACCAAAGGGTAATTGCAGATCATAATAATAAATAGTAAACAATCATAAGCAATGATGGATAGTGGCTAGCAGTGGAATCCAGGACGCGCTTTTCGTCCTATTTGGGACTTGTCAGCTGGATGTACCTGCATATCAGAGTTGATGTTCACTCTGATCAATTGCAGTCTTGAACCTCAGTGGGAAGATGCAAGCCAAAAAATACCAAGTGAAGTACACAATCACGTTAAATTAATTTTTTTGTCAAAACCTAATCCATTAAACTTTCCTATATCGTCATACTTTCTGAGTACTACACTCACACGACCATAAGTTCCGATCTGTCCTTGAATATGTTGTGTATGTTGAGTAACCTATAGTATGAAAGAGTTCACGTTTTTCCCCAAGTTTTCAAGAAATTAAAGTTTGTTCACTTTATTGCCCAATGAAGTTTACCTCAGATGTTAATAAAAATAATATATGAGTAGAAAAATTAAGTTTTCAAATTTTCTACTCATTGGATTATTACAAATATATTTTACTTTTATTAATAATAATCAACACAATGCTAAATTTATTTGAAATTTTCATTTCAAAGCTTGGTAATGATACCTACAATCTTATTAATAATTGGATCAAATTGAACCTCAGATGCCTTTTCAATCTTAATATGACTTAAATAAGTATCGTTATCCTAAACGATATTTCCGTTTAAGAAAAACTTTAGGTAAATCTTTGAAAATTATATACTTTTATTGGATTTTGAGTGAAATATCCGTGAATTCTTACTGTTTCATATACCCTAGTTAACTTAATTGCTAATGACAAATACAATAATTTAGGTGTACCTGCTACATTTACTGCAAGTCTCTCGTTCAATTTTGTTGGAAGGATATTTAAATGCACACAAGGAATAAATACAATTATAGTCATACAATCGCAAAAGGCTCTGTTTTTTTATCATAACTTGTCTGAATATAAGTTTTCTATAACCTTTTGTTAGGATCAACTGCTTTTTTATGTGTTTTTCTCACAATAACACGCGATAGAAGCTCCTATAAGTGGCACTTGTCCTACAAATATCTATGTCACTTCTTGTGACTTCTTATCAAAGAGGATTTTTAATTATTTTCATAAGTGACTGCTGAGGATCTCATTACTAGATTGTTATTAAGATACATTTAGGAAATAAGTTGTTTTTGTCTTATTTTCGGTTATTTCTCATGTTTCATTAGTAAGCAAATTTTATTTAAAAAGAGAATTTCTTCCTTAAGAAAATTAGTGTTAAACTTTCAAGTATAACTCGAAAGAACTGTGCACAAGACAGGAAATTTATTTTTGAAGACTACTGAAAACTGGGTGAAAAATCGGGTGACACACAAATATTTATGAAGAGGCTGGATTAAAATGGTTGTCAGAAGCAGGTTAACAGTTGTTTATACAGTCAATTACTACATGATGACTGTTTGGACGTGAGATGAGGCTTGAATTTTCTATGTACAGCACTTATCCTGAATGATTAGAATAAAGTATTTTTTAAATCCAGGTTTTCTAATGGTATTGAAATGTTTTACCATATTTTTTTCAAGTGAAACCACTCATTTAATGAATATGCTTGATTTTCGATGAGCATAAACTACATTTCTTTGTACACTAATCTTGTTTTTAAAACCACTAGAATTTAATAAACACGTTAAGTGAAGTAAATTTCATTTGTTTTCTAGGAAGATATTGGTAACAAGGAAAATGTGAATCCATGGTAATTTGGCACAAAAATATCAAATTATTTACAACGGTATCGGGTATCAACTTGTGATAAATGAACATGTTGTGTTTAGATAACTTGAAAAACAGACTATGAGTAGCTGCTATTGTTAAAAAGAAATAGTCTACTGATTCTGTAGTTATTTTTACATTTCATCCATTAGTTTAAAAATATTAATCCACTACTTGTCAATCAGGCCCCTTCTTATTACTTAGATCTTATTATTCTTATGCTGTAACCTTGTTGTTGTCTGACATTTGTGATAAAGGAATAAATAATAGATCAATCAGGACTTTGAATCTTAAGTGTATACTTACACTCATCCCACTCAGCCATAGATTCCGATTATGATGTAATTATTTATTCTGTTAAATGTATCTAAGGTGCACCTCGGACAGTGATTTTAATATATCTATAAAAGTGTCAAATAAATAAAACCTCGTATATATATATATATATATATATATATATATATATATATATATATATATATATATATATATATATATATATATAACTTGTTTAAAATAGAGCTTTCTCATGTTTTTACATGAGTTTACGCACATACGGTTTTGAACGTAAATTGAATAATTTATAAGTTTTAGCAATATCTTTTCAAGTATTCATGCATTTATTGCTTTGAGCTTGTTTACATCATTATTGCTCACTGATGTGATCTGAAGAAAGATAATACAATTTCAGGGATTCTAATTCTAAAAGTTGAATTTATGAGTCGATGTAAGATAGACCACCACTGAAAACCTGGAAGAACTGGATGGCCGTTTCGTCCTAGTATGGGACTCCTCAGCAGGGCGCATCCACAACCTTGTATGTGGGACTCGGACCCAGGACTTTCGGCCACGCTCACGAACGCTTAACCTCTAGACCACTTATCCGGTATCCACCGGTGTTAATGTCTAACTACATTCGACCCACGATCCTGCGCAACCATCCATCCATTATCTAAGGTAGATACCTGTCTCTACCCGATACGGATTGAACTCCACTGGTTACGGCTTTTCACCAGGACTCTAGCTTACATGGACTCATGAATTCAACTATCAAAATTATTGCAATCTCTACAAACCCCCATTCTGATTCCACCTATTATCTTAAAAGTTCATGTTATATATTTAGACAACTTAGATAAAAGGGTTATTATTTAAAATATCTAACTACTTCATTACTACGTATCTTTTTATTTATATGAACTGGTTCATGATTCCTTAAGTTTTGTAGTGATGTAAGCTGATTAGAACAAGGTGATACAGGCAATACTAAAAGTGACCTCTCTTTATCATGATGCAATAAATATTTGTGGTTATGACTGTGACGTAAAAACAGTTGATGCTAGTTGATAGAGATGGAGTACCACAAAAACGTCCAATAAATATGTTTCTCTGCTATTTGGTTACATTTTGATACATTTAAATCAAAATTTGGAATATTATTTTTTCTAACAGATCTTATATGAACTAGTCGTCTACAATAAATCATTGTTTTATGTATCACTCCACAACTTATCACTTGGTCACAGTATATCATTTTACAAATTTTTAGTTAAGTAGCTTATGAATAACTTAGACATCAAACATATTTTGTTAATCGTTTTTTAGTAGATTAGGAATCTTTATTTGATCATACACTCCAAGTATAAGAGTACTTTATTAATAACCAGTGATTCATTTTCGTTCAGTGTCTGAATCATTGTAAAATAATGTAAAATGTTTTATTTATCGGCTTACACAGAAGGTATGTTATGAAATTTACCAAAATTAATATCTATGACTTTTATTATGTTTGTAAAACATAAAAAATAATCTCAAAAGCATAAGGCAGATAGCTCATACTAAAGACCCAACTAATTCAGTTTTTAAATCTAATATACTTTATTTTTCTATGATTATATCTAAGATCACTTAATATTCATTATTTTACCATACGGTTGAATCGATTTGTATGAAAACAGTGCATTTTACTTTCCTTATTATTAGATAAAATCAGAGTTTGACAAAATTGTTCTGAAATCAGAAAATGAAGTGGATTTATCAGATGAAGTGAAAGGATTCATTAAAGACGTCGAGAAATATGACTTCATTAGACTCAGTCTTCCTGATATAAACGGAATCCATTTGAGTAAGTTGCTTCCTACCCGCTTTGCTAAGAAGTTGGCGATGGGCCAGGTAGAAATGTATTCAGGGTCTATAGCATTCGGACCAAGATTTGAAGTAAGTGAAGATAAATTACGATTTCTCTTAAAAATACATGCATCTTATGGATATACAATTTAAGCTCTTGGTTGCTTAATCCTCGTTTGATGGGAAAAATAAAAAAAATTGTCAACGCTTTTAAAAATTTTACCTAGGTTAAAAAGTCTAAGGTAGAATACTCACCTGAAAACTCAATATACTTCAGATCCATATTCTTTACAGCCAAAAGTTTGTATTCAAGAAAAATACCCATTTACTGAATAATTTAGTTGTTATATGGCTATATTTAGAATATATTGTCATGTGTAAAACCAATTTCCTGAAAATGGAGCCTCAGGTGGCAATATTGTTTACGTTTTTCATAAGAACTTTCTTGAATTACAGTAGGAATTAAGAATATAAACATAATTTTTCTTATCCTAAAGGATAACACTGTTATCAGCTTAAATGAAGGAGCAGGCAAATAGAATCCAAGGATATATTCAATCTGTTATTATCAAGAAGTTTAGTGAGAAAATATTTTGTATCGTTTTATACATATTGTTATGCTATTTAACCAAGCGGTTTTATCTCGTTCAGAACAGCAGTTATATTCCATCTGTTTAGTTCTGTACAGCATCCTAGTTATCGATTCCTATTATTCCAGTTTTTTATTTGGATTAAGTGTGATGAGTTGTGACTAACAGGTAACAACAGACTACTGAATAGGAATTTACTATGCGTATCGTTCCTACAAAAAATATACTTCATTAATCAAAGTAACAACGATCGTAAGGCCTAGTGGTGCCTCAGGACAATAAACAAAGTCAATCAAAACTTTTAATTTTTAACAAATTATCAGTCAGCTTTTGCGGACACTTACAGTTTCGATGGAAACTACACACGCAATTAAGCTAATTGTATGTAATATCGTTATCAATTTCTATCTGCACCGATTTAAAACTTACTTAATCATGCTAGAATTCCTCTCAATTGATTTATTTGTCGATTATTTATAACTTTGTTACATCCTATTCACTAAGTGAAGTACTCTCATTATGAACCTAGCATTTGTAAAGTATGAAAACAACACATTGAATACACCATTTGCACATTTTCCTTGAATTGTTTTTTCACAAATTCCATCGTTCTTTTACCCCTATTGCCACTTCGACTAATTTTTTTATTATCATTTTTTTCTTCTATCAGTGAGAATCTTACTTCCAATTCTTGATACATTCTACTTATAACTATCATTGTAAGTAGCACACACCACACTTCTATTAAATTGAAATCATGGTTTAAACAGTCTTTTAGAGATATCCGATCTACAGTTATGAACCGATTCTTAATACACAGTAGATTTTTAGAAGTCCATATTTTCTTGTTTTAGTTTTATAATTTACTTCATCTGCAAACTTTATAATTCATTATTTCGATAAAAGTGTACCTCATTTTGTTTTCTATTTGCGAAAAATCATCAGTCACAATAAATTTGAGCTGTCTTCATATTTAGATGATCAGCATCCCAGAAGTGGTTGAAAAGAAACATATTAACAGTGTTTTGAAGCCAGATTTCTCGACTCTGCATCCATGTCATTGGATTTCACAAAAGAATTATCCTTACCCACAAAAGGACAATAACATGTTTTTGAACGCAGAAGAAGATGGCAAATATTCATTTTGTTCTGTTTTGTGCGATATATACTGGCCTAATAACCAGCCAATGTATGCCTACCCAAGATTTGTTGCTCAAAGGCTTATCAAAGAGCTGGAAGATAAATATAATCTACGGTTATATTCAGCTTTTGAACCGGAGTTTAGAGCTTTTGTAAAGGGAAGTTATGAAACATCGTGTTTAGAACCAAAGTCGAATGATGTTACCCAATTTATTGACCTTAAAAAGCCAATCCCTTGGACAAATTTTAGAGACATGTACAGAACAAGTTTACTGTCCGTTTATGAAAACTATTTTGCGGATATTGATTACAATATGCAGCTAGCAGGGATCGATATACAAGATTACAGTAATGAAGATGGCGAAGGACAGTTGGAATGTCCGCTAATACCAACATGGGGGTTGTCCGCTGCAGATAATTATTTTATATTGAAGCAGGCTGTAAAAGAAATTGGAACCAAACACGGGATGGAAATTTCGTTTATGACTACACCATTACTGGATTCCAGCTCTAGTGGGTGTCATTACAATCACTCTCTGTGGTACGCTGATAATAATCGTAATGCATTTTACGATGATAAAGGTAAGTCTCGATCAGTTTATTCTGCAAATATTTCAGTTTACTTAAAATCTCCGCCACTAAATAATTGTCTGGTATAACGAACATCTTTCTCGAAATATCCTTTCAGATGACGACAGATTTCTGGAGTACGTAGAGGATTCTGATCAAAACAGGTGTAGTTAATTTGACAAAAAAACTGTTTGCCAACATATGTCGTGCTTTTAACTATTCAAACTTATCATTATGAAATGTGTAAAGATATTTCGTCCGAACCGAGTTTTTTTCTACTTATCTTGTAGTTTGCAAAATTCTTTTGTGTTAACTTTGATACTTAAACATTTATTGCCTACTTTAGAATAGATTATTATACCGTTTCACTCTACATCTGAGAAATATATTTCACCCTAAAATAGTAACAATCATTAAGATAACAAACCCATAGAGCACATGAAAAACGCATACGGTGGGATGAGTTTATCAACTCTTTCTCCCTCTTCATATATATAAGATGTTTTAATGTTATTTAAATTTTTATGCATATAATATGAACTGAACATGAATATTGTAATTTAAAATTAAGTCCACCTTTTTTGCCACTTCAGATCCTGATCGATTATCTACCCTAGCTCGTCACTGGATTGGAGGCATCTTGGAACATTTACCAGCTATGTTAGCTATTTCTTGTCCAACAGTAAACTGCTATAGAAGATTGCATAAACATCTTGCTCCGTCCTGTGTGAATTGGGATTTTCATGATAGGTATATATCGATTCGTGTAAAAAACTTTAATGAGAAACAGACATACATAGAAAATCGTATACCATCGTCCGCATCTTGTTCTTACCATGTGCTTGCTGCCACAATAGCAGCTGGACTAGATGGCTTGGAACGTCAGATACACCCTCCACCTTCAGGTTTGAAACTAGCAAATGATCAAACCGGTGTCTGTAAAGTACTTCCCAATACAATTCAACAGGCTCTACATAGTCTTATGGATGACAAAATACTTGTGAACAAGTTGGGAGCAGATTTTGTCGATTGGTATGTTCAAGTAAAGAAGAATGGAGACTTGTCATCTCTTGGTCATTTAAATATACATGATAATACTGAAGAAACACTGGCTTATGAAAGATATGAATATTTCAATTTTATGTGACTCACTTCACAGAACCAGTTTATTCTATCAGTTTATTCCAACAATGATAATTTTCTCAGTAGCTATTACGTGTAAAGCTACATACTTTCAAATTTTTATTCTCTCACATTTTATAAACCCGTCCTATTACTTTTATTTCACTTATTCATTCCTGCATTATTCTGAAGATGGGATTGACTACTTTTGCACTTCATTCCACTATAATCCTCTATTTTTTTAAAATGATGTTATTAATGTGATAAGTAGTTTAATAATAATGAATTAAAAATGAGACTACTTTGATGTTTGTTTTATTAACATAATGCAATTCAAGGATATAATGAATCTCCTAGATAGGCTGTATAGAACTTTGCCTGAACAGTGAAAAATAGATAACGTGTTTATCCATTACATCCAGCTAATTCGAATGTTACTCATATTTTTTTAAGTAGTGTCTTTACGTTGTCGTTTAATGTTGAGTATTAGCTGGCAAACTTTGGTGTTAACGCAACTGTAATTATATAATGTAAGTTTGTCAAATTTCAATTACTAAAAGTTTTACTGCAAATTGTCTCGATAGTTTAATTATCTTACAGCTAGCTTCATTTTACTTACTTCAAGTGGGTAATTTAATCTATCCAGAAAAAAGTCTAAAACAACTACTGCATAGTTTTTAAACAATAACATATAAGTTTAGGTTTATACTGAAAAATTATACAAGGATTTCGACTACATTAAAATAGTTTCACAGTTCGTATTTAATATCAAACTTGAAATATAGGGTTGAAACGTGAAGAGTGTTGTACAACGAGTTATTTGAGGATGAGCTCATTAGTCTATCATTTATAAATAGTTCCTTATCCTCACATACAATGAGTATTTATAATACATAAATACTAGTACAAATAGGTGCTAAAATAAATAGGTCACACAAATAAGGAAATAAAAGTGTGATGAGATAGTGGAATGAGGAGGGAGTATGCTCTAAAATTGATCAACCGATAGAAATAAGTGAACGAGAATAACATACAACAGGAGGTAAATTTCGGCTAAGAACATAACTAGAAAGAATTCCTTTATTTAGGTGATTTCAATAAGTTTATATGAAGAATCCAAAATAAAAATACAGCAGGATTATCATCAGTTTCTATACTGAACTATATCTAATAACATGCCAAGCCGGTGAGAGTTACATTATACCACAGAACTCATCCAGGAAGTAATGATGAACGTAAAGGTGACCGTCCTGTACAGATACCTCTCTTACCACTTTACCACGTCAAATGTTGTCTACCACTACAGTCTGTTATGTGTATCAGTCGTTGCAGTCTATAAAATAGGGACAAACTAGTTGAAGATACCAGAGCAGCAGACCAACCGGACTGTTCCTTGATAAGTTCTGTTCAGACTATCTTCCAGCAGTTGCCGAATGCAGCTTCTCTTTCTGAATAATTAGGGATCTCTGAGGAACACGTCTCCCAGTTTTTACGCAAAACATGTGAAGTTTATGTATCTAATAATCTATGTTTCATGAAACTAGTTCCCCTTAACGTATTTAAATATAGCCGAAACGACGACTGAGGCAGTACTTTTGACTTGTTTCAAACCTACTTTTATTATGAAAAGTTGTGGTTTGTCGAACTAAACCGACGTGCCTCAATGAGTTATAAGGTACCTTGGAAGACCTACTACTTATAAATAGAACGCTTCAAAAACAAACAAGAGACATGGCTCATTATTTCCATAAAATCATGAGAACTCATCAGATAGTCATCTACTTTTTCTCTTGGACTAGCTGGTAGTCTTAAACCTAACTTGGTTTGATGTTTGCTACGACTCTAATCTTGGCCAATTGTCACGCAATTTATTCATCGGATGCGTCTACGGTGATACAAATGGGTGCTTGGGTGCCCTGATGTTCAGGCGTGGTTGTTTTTGCGATACGTCCCTTAATTGTGAAGAATGCTTTTCGAGCGGTATCATCCAAATTGATGAAGTTCACACACCCACGAAGTTGGTCGCTTACCGGTATCATAAGAGACGCACAGTTTGGTATGAACCGTCTGTAGAAACTTACTAGTCCGGTAAACGTGCATAGTTGCTTGAACGTGGTCAGTTCTGGATAATCCGGAATGGCTGCCACTTTGCTTCTCAGAAGTCGGATGCCTTGAGCACCAGTAGTATGTCCGATGTAATATAAGGAGTCAGTTCCGACTCGGTGCTTCTGAATGTTTACTGTAATGCCGTGCTTTTGTAGTCTTTCGAAAACAAGGTTTAGATGCTGGAGACCAGATTCTCTGCCCGGACTTGCAATTAAGCAGTCGTCAACATACACATGTACAAAGTTGAGATCACAGAAAGCGTCATCCATGAACCTTTGGAAGGTCTGAGCAGCATTTATTAGGCCAAAAGGCTTGCGCGAAATGTCGTAGAGACCGAAGGGATTTATGATAGTGGTTTCAGGAATGTCGTCAGTGGCCATGGGAATTTGGTTTAAGGCTTTAACCGAGTCGGTTTTTGAAAAGACAATTGTGCTTTTGGAGGTAGCTTTCGAATCGTGAATTTGGGGCAACAGGTAACGGTTAGGCATGGTTCACGCATTCAATCGCCGATAGTCAACAGTTGGACGTCAATCGTTACTGTCATTTTTAGGGACCATATGAAGAGGAGATGCCTGTTATTTCCTAGCGAAGACAAAACTACGTGTAATTTCCGAGAACCATTAATGGACCTTTATTTTATATATATATATATATATTGTTATTGTGCAAATATTCAATAACTAGATCATGTCTATCTATATTCCTTTTATTATAAGCTTCATTTTGACCTATAGGTTATTGCTGTATGATTTACTGTTCTTAAGTTATACTTAATTTATTGATTACCGTCTCCCACTTTCACAGACACTTCTAGCTTTATTTCGTGTAAGTGTTATTTCCTATTTTATGGTGCGATGAGGTCTGTCTGGCTGGAATATGAACCAAGTATGTTTGAAATAAATGGTTCGCCTAGCGGAAGCTGTTATTGGCGTTCGGAACATAACTGGGCGGGCTAGGGGAACAAAGAACCAGTAAGGACGCTCGGCCGGTCAGGCCGGTTGAACATCATTGGTTAGTGCAGTACAAGAGTGAATATGTTGTATTTCGATTGGCGAATAAACTACGCGATAACTAGCCGGACATTAAAGTCACAACAAACCCCATGGGCTGTTTGATGGACGAATGATTCTTAAGCCTATCATATGATCGAATTCGTTTTTAGCCGACCTCAGCTTTCGGAGGCCAGTCGGAAGCTTTCGAAAATGCAGGTGGTCGTGTAGTCATGACGTGATGTGTAACACTGCTGGTTAAACACGGTAATTTCGTTTGCGTTCGGTATATCCCAGGTGCTTATCGAGTAATTGTCGATAGAATGGATCCGTCGTGTGCCTAAATGTGACTGGAGATAATCTGCAACCGAAAAAAGAAGTTTCCGTCTACTAGCCTCCGTTTATGCGTATCGATGAGTAGATTGTGATGTTGTAGCAGGTTTATATCAGTGATTGGAATAGAACTATCCGCTACAACAAAAATCCAGCATCTGGGTTTGAGTAAACCCACGTTAGGATAGAAGTACCTTTTACCATATGTGGCGATATCCTTTCCATTTGCCTCCTGCTTCGTGTGGTCGGTCTTTGGAAATCACTGGAAGAAAGCTAACTTCTGCAAGAACATCAGCGAGGTGGGGAACTTTCGTAATCACGTCAGTGACATAAAACAGACGGCTATGTTCGCCGGCTACGGTTGTCGTTACCGCGTACCTGCTGGGAGGTTTCTAGAAACGTTTTTTGCGTCGGTCGGTTTGAAGTTCAAAAAATTGCGGGGTTTTCCGCAATTTTGAGAGGATTTTTCGAAGTGATTATGATACCAGCATCAGTTGGGGTCATCTGTTTTCGTGAAGAACTACTTCGAGGTGTTTTGTGATCGTTTACGGTCATTACGAATATGATTCAAATGGTTCAAATGGTTGCGGACGGAATAGAAGAAGCTTTCGCTTAACAGGCTTCCGTGTCTAGTAGCAGGGGATCACCAATACCTCCAGGCAAGAACCTAGGTATATTAACGATAAAAGAGAAAGAAAATGAATTGGTAAATCATAGTAAGATACTATCCTTAGTCCTTAAGAATAGATCAAGTCGCCTCTTAAAGGACTCCTGGGAAGTTGCTTGGACTAGTTCAGCTGGCAGCGAATTCCAGCATTTGACAACTCTTAGGGAGTAGAAATTGTGTCTGCAGTCCGTTCTACTATGTTGTATCTCCAGTTCCTGGGTGTTACCCCTTAGGTTAGTGTTGGGACTAAGCTTAAGTAGGTGTTTAAGAGGATGTCTAGGTGTGTTAAGGATACTGTAAGCCATTAGAAGGTCACCTCTAAGACGCCTATACTCTAATGGGTAAAGGTCGAGTGATTGGAGGCGCTCATCGTAAGGTTTAAATTAGAGTCCCCGAACTGATTTCGTGGCTCGCCGTTGGATACGCTCCAGAGTGTCCTTATCCTTTTGGAGTGTAGGAGGGAATACTATGTTCCCGTACTCTAAATGGGGACGAATGAAACTATTGAAGATTATGTGGAAAGTTCTCCCGTCAAACTGACCAAAAATGCGCTTCAATGTTACCAGTGCAAGGTTTGCTCGAAAGGCATTTTTGTCACAGTTGGCGTAAGACTTTAAGTCGTAGGGCACCAGAACTCCTAAATCTTTTTCGACTCGGGATACTACTAGAGAGGAGTTTCCTAAGTTGTAACTGTAATCTGAGACGTGTCGCAGATGGACTACTTTACACTTTGAAGTGTTAAAGGTAAGTCCGTTATCGTCTGCCCAACTTTGAAGTCGAGTCAGATCCTCCTGAATTGCCTGTATGTCCTCTTGGTTGCGTATCTCTCTCCAAAGTTTCACGTCATCGGCAAAGAGCAGTATGTCTGACGTTACCTGTTGAGTAAGATCATTTATATGAATCAGGAAGAGGAGAGGTCCTAGTACTGAGCCCTGGGGGACCCCACTAGGACATTCCATAGCGTGTGAGAAATTGAAGTTTACCCTGACTTTAAAATGTCGATTTGTGAGATATGAACTGAGCCAGTCAATTAAAGGTGGTTTGATTCCCAATTGTTTGAGCTTGTTAATAAGACATGTGTGGTTAACCCTATCAAAAGCTTTAGAGAAATCAAGGTAAATGATGTCTACCTTCCCCTTGCGATCAACGATGCTTGTCCATCTGTCCACCGCGGTCAGCAGGTTCGTCATACAGGAATAACCCTTCCTGAAACCATGCTGTTGGGGTGAGAAGAAATTTAAGGACAGCAGATAGTCATGTATATAATCGTATACCAGGGACTCCATGATCTTTGAAGGTGTAGAGAGAAGGGCCACCGGTCGGTAACTTGAAGGTTCACTGCGTCGACCTCCTTTGAAGATTGGTGTAATATGAGCCAGCTTCTAAATATCCGGTAGTTTGCCCCGACTTAGCGAGTGTGAGAACATCACTCTAAGTGGTGTTGCCAGGATTGAAGCTGCTTCCCTCAGTATAGCAGAGTGGACCATATCTGGACCAGGAGAAGTGTCTGTTCTTAGGTGTTGTAGTTTACGGAACACCAAGTCAGCGCTCAGTTTCACTACGGAAAGTCCTGTGCAGTTGCAGACAGAGCCGACATCAGTATAGTTGATGCGGGTCGGCTGAAATGTCCGGGAGTATTGCTCAGCCAGAAGGTTAGCGGCGAAACCGTCATTATCTGTCGGGCCGTTAGGACCTAGCAGTTGAGAAACTCCAGTTTTGGCTTGACGAAGAGAGGCTGCGTAACGGAATAAGCTTTGCGGATTGGAAATAAATTTATCCATAAGCTTTAACTGGTACTGAAGCCTGTCTTCTCTTTTAGCCTTCGTACATATGTTCCTTGTATGTTTGTATTGCCTGTACTCACCGTTGTTGTTGGTTCGTTTGTATTCTGCCCAACACTGCCTTTTACGGCTTAGCAAACGTTTTTTGATGATTGTAGGTTGCTTGTGCCTTTTGAGGACCGTTTGAGGAGCTGATTGCTTAGTAGCATATGAGAGCGTGTGCAGTAAGGAGTCCCAATGAGCATCCACATCAAGTTGAGGGTGAACATCCCAATCCACCTGTTGTAGATAGTCCTGTAGAGCTGACACATTCAACCGTTTGAAGTTCCAGCGCCTGTTGTTGTTGGGATATCTTAGCTCTGTTTTGCTGACGAAACTGAAGGCTATAACGGCGTGATCGCTTTTCCCCAGGGGAGCCAGAATTGAGAAGTTGTCGACTAGAAATTCTTCATTTGTAAAAACACAGTCTATGCGCGACGGTGTCTGACCGTTCCTCCAACGAGTAGCCGACTTCACATTTTCGTGTAGTCCCAAATCCTCAATGAGGTTGAAGAACCGAGCTTCGATTGAATTTTCACTTCCAGTATACGTATGTTCCGCGAAGTTGACTCTAGGGAGATTGAAGTCCCCTAGAATCAGGATATGAGTGAAGCCGAGACGCGTAGAGCGGGATAGTCCTTCCAGCATGCGACTGTCATACTCGATGTCGGCAGTGGGCTTCCTATATATGACTCCGACTAGGCACCTCGAAGTAGTGGACAATCTCATAGAGCACCATATGGATTCCTCAAGATTGTCAAACTCGTGGTTGTGGATTTGGTGTACCTCCAGGTCAGATCTGATGTATAGGGCTACTCCACCCCCAATTCCTGTTTTTCTGTCATTGCGAAACAGAGACATCCCAGGTATTGCTAGCTCCTGGTCCGAATACTGAGGAGATATCCAAGTTTCACATATTCCTATCAGATGAACTTTATTAGCGTTGCTAAGTTCACTTAGTTCATCCATTTTATTTGGTAGACTCGCGGCGTTCATGTATAAGCAGTTAATGCTTTCAATTTGAAACGCGTGAGCTTCTTCCTGTTTGTCTGTGAGAGCCTTGCGTGAGTGGAATGGTAACCCACCTATATAAGTTTTGTCAAATTGGTAGGCCCTGTCCTTTACACGTTTTTTTTGTCTTGAAGACAGTCCACAAGTGGAATGGTCAGCTCCAGCTTGCCTTTGTGCTTGATCCTGGCGTCGTATGGCCTAGCCGGGTGCGTATGGATCCCAGTTGGCAACCGACGTCTGTTGACACGAAATGTTTCCAGAGTTGCAGCCGCCATACGGGAGGATGGAAAAGTTATCCTCATTAGTCGGGGTCTAGGATCTCCGTCCTTCTTGGCTAGTCTCATCACATGCTGAGACAGTATGTTTTTAAGCCTCAAGGACTGTTTGATGAATTTCCATTCCCGAATGTCAGAGTTTGCTTGAGTAGGGTCCATGTTTTCCGGTACACCTTGCACGATGATATTTCTTCCGCGGAAAAACTTCTCTCGAGAATCTTTAGGGACGTTTCGGATGAGATTGCGCTCAGAATATGGTATGTCAGGCAGTATTCTGACGTTCCCATCGGATTTCAGTAGATGACTGGCTAGCAGGACATCCTCTACTTCGGTAGCATTCTTGAGTGTTACACGGAGTAGTCTCGGGTGATTTTGATGTTTAGAATCCTTTCCCCAAGTGAGCCGTGTGACCGTCAAAGGCTAGGGAGTTTGAGCTTTTTGTTCAGTTCACCCCAGAGCATCCTGTCATTTTTGTCCTGCAAACTGAGAGGAAGGTCAGGATTGTCTATAAGGTTCATGATTATGAGAGAGTCGTCACGGACCGTTGTTGTTTTCCCAGCTCTTCCAGTGCGTTCATGTTCAGTACGTTGTTGTTTGGAGGTCGAAGTAGGTTTTTGAGTCGTAGGCTTTTTAATAACCGGGCGGACATTTTTGGGGGTAGACTGAGCGATCAAAGCACCAGTTGATGTCCGTACAACACTTAGGATGTCAACCTTGGACGGTGACACCTGGTCCTTATTAGCTCTGTTGGCGTGGGTACAGTCACCTGCAGAGTTTTTAGGAACCACTGTTGCGTTTAAGGACCCTGAACTGAGAGATCCAATTTTAGTGAGGGAATTAGTTATTGTCGACTTAATGATGGAGCTGAGTTTCAACATGCCATCATTAGTGCTAATGCGCGTTCCATCGATGGTTGACTTGTCAACATCCCTGTTCTTATTTTCGTTACGCGCCCTCATTTGCCTACCTATTTTATGGCTATCTGTTTCCAAGTTTACTGACAATTTATTCCGCAGACCTGTCAGTAGAACAATGATATTGCTCAGCAGTACTACAGCGTCCGTGTTGCACGTAACGCGCACCCACTTACGGTCAGATTTTCTGAGTCTCTTGTAAGCCGTTGCCGTAAGATCTGTGCACGTTTCGTGAAAATAACCTTTGCAGTTGTCACACTGCATGCCAGATGTAAGAGCGAAACGTCATCCAGGTCTTTTACATGAATTTTTCATGGCTGTATTGACGTAAACTATGTTAGAGATAGTATCAAAGCTTAAGACCGTTAAAAATACACTAAAAACCACACCAAAACGGGAAAAATGTATAAAAACGGATGAGATAAAATGAAATAGCCTTTACGTGAAAAACTGAAAATAAACCGAATAGTAAGCTGAGGCAAAACCGCAGTTAACTATTAAATTGGGTGAAACTCAAAAAAAGTAATCTACCGAACTTGTAGCTCAGAATAGATTGTTTAGATCAGAAATGGTACTTTTGTTGCGTAAGAACACAGCAAAAGTTTGAGAAATGCAAACCACGTTAGGACTAAACTTCCCGTTCGAAAAGCGCGCAAACATCGTTCCGCAACGTCATTTCGTGTAGTTTGAGGCTTTTCTTTGACTTAAAAACCCTCGGCGTCAGAAGATTTGGTGACTTCTAGGATACGATCGGCAGATTCAGCCAGCTCGTCTGCGGCGTTGTTTAACGTCTCAATCAAACCCTTAATGAACCGCGATTCGCTCATATTCTCCTACATGTGCTATTAAATGATTTACGTTTTCAAAAATCTGACAGTTTTTAATGGAAAATACACATCTACCAACAAGATATACACCCAATGGCTGAAAAGCTTGTTTTAACCAACTAAATAGACAGTTGGCTAATAAGTTATAACCCCGTCTTTTCAATCCCTATTTAATTCAAGTTTTTCTATTCACCTAAAGAATAAAAAGTATGAGTGTATTTTTAATTATGTTGTGATCATACATAAATTTATTAATAATTACGAAATCCAAATTGAGTTCAGTGTTTCATTTTATGTTGTGTACGGTCACATACTGCTTGAATACACTTGTGTTTTCGTTGGGAAATACAGATTTTCTGCAACACTTACACATAACAATAAACTCCCGGGAGAATGGCTCATTTTGCCGGTGGTTATCTGACTTGTTCAATCGTATTCATTCCCTCTTTCGATTTGATTCTTTGATTATTCTCACATATATATATATCAAATCTATAGTATATACCCTATGCACGGTGATCATAATTTCCTAACTTTAATATTTTAAACTTTTTTGTTGATTTTGGTGAGTAAATGAGAAATCATTTCTAGACATACTTCTTGGTGGACGATCGTGTACCGGAAAAACCACTGATTGATGCATCCATAAGATTCAGTGCTTAATTAGGGAAGTTATGGTCATAAACCTCAATATTAGCATTATTCTCTCAATATTAAGGCACTTTCAAAGTAATTTGTTAGAAAACCAAACAGTCAACGTTGTCATACCCTTAAAAGATTTGAGTGAGATCAAAACATCATATTCTAGTGGGTAGTTTTTTATAATGCAAGATGCAGACCTAATCATATGAACTACGCAGACAAGGTTCTTATGGTGTTTGATGCGGACAATTCAAATCTACATAAATGTATACTCATTTTCGAATCGGATATTTGACTGAGCACATGACTGTTAGATACATTCATTCAATTTTGTTGGTCAACTTGTGCTGATTTTTTAAACTAATCTGAATGCTTTACATGCAAATCTTTCAAATATTCCTTTGTCTTACTGTTTGTCTATCTATCTATCTGGTAATCAGGAGTATGCATATCCCCTTATTATGTTGATGCATAAATACTTGGAAAATCTTAACTAATTGACACTCTGGACATTTTGGGTCCATTTTAACACGATGTGGATAAGGCAGGCATGATCCGGTCCTTTATTTATTTCACTACAATGCTATTTATAGTTATTCAAAGTGTCAATGTAAATATAAATCCAACTCAATTACAAAGAGGTCTAATTTGGGTTAATAATTGTATGCAATATAATTAACTTGTATTGATTAATTGTCCGCACTGTTTACTATAATTAATTAATATCAATTTTATAATTAGAATGTATTTTGTAGACAGACAGATATATAAATGCGTGTGATACATTTGACAAAGTGTAAAAAAACCATATTCTAAATTTTGGTTAAATGTAATTGTTGGTAATATTATTTACAGTTTAATAGAAATTAACTAAAGCTAAAGTGTTTCATTTTGTTTTCTCAACTATATATTGCAAACATTTTCTTCGCTTTTTATCCTGGTATCCAGTTTGGTTACATTTTCCGTGTAAATAATAAAACACCAAAAGATTCTTTAACATATTTGGACTATGGCTAGTAGTGGATTCCAGGAAGCGCATGTCTCGTCTTCTTTGGGACTCGTCAGCTGAATACTTTTTCCATTTCAGTTACTTCGTCATATAACGTCATCATCATCACTAGTCCTAATTTCTCAAAAGAACATCGAGAGATTCTTTTAAAAACCAGTTACTATTGAGAACACAGTTCCTTTCTGGTACGTGAAATAAAAGCATACTTTATTATTTCTCGTTATGATTTTGCGTTTGTGTTCAATTAACATTTAATTAGTTGAAATAAGTATAACGTCAAGCATTTGATTCGACCAGTTACACTGTTGTATCAGTGTAGTAAATGAGATAAAAGAATAATAGCGAATAAGTATCAAGTCCAACAAAAGTACTGTGATAAATCCAAAACAATGTCTATTATGTATTGTGTAATATTTATTAAGATTTTCTATCCATTGATTCATCAGCCAATCGATGATTGCCATGAGTCTCTAACAAAAATCTGAGTATATACATATATATATATATATATATATATATATATATATTCTTACCATACATTGTAAGCTGTTTTGTTTACAAACTATTGTCATATAGCATTTTATTATCATTCATTTCTGAGAAATATTCTGGAAAAACTTCACTTTGAAGAGTAAACACTTTGATATTCTGGGAATGATAACATTTAAACAATTGTTTCTGCTCATATCAGAATTGCGAGCTAGATGACTATAAAGGATTTGTAGAATATTTTTAGAACAACTCTTATTGTAAGTTGACGCAAAGTTTCTCCTCGAAGCAGTATTACGTTCTACTTGAATTACACTAATTCTTCAGCTGACGTCAATTATTGTTTATTCTTTCAATACAAGAATCCGATTCATACTACATAGAAAGTTATTCAATATATTTAATTTTGTACTTATTTTAAATATCCTTATAGTATATATATATATATATATATATATATATATATATATATATATATATATATATATATATATATATATATATATATATACCTAACATTGGAAAAGAGCCGCTAATAAGTCGATTGGGTGGCATTTTTTAACTGTAATAAATTATGGAATCTTTGTTTTTACCTAAATGTATTCGTGCATTTACTCACATAAATTATTTAATACTACAATGTCTATAACAGCGGCTATGACGTTTTGTGAATATAGGTTAACTAAGATGGGGGAAAGAGAGAGAGAGAAGTAAATCATAATAATTCTCAGTATCTTAAGTATCTAATTCATTTATAAACTCATTCATAAATTATATTAATAAGACCGGTTATACCAGTAGTGTTTCACATTTTAACGCTAATATTTAACGGTTTACCCATTGTGATAAATAAAATACTTGGATACCACAAAATATCTACCACGTAGTAATCTCTTGGCCACATAAACAAGATATAGATATCATTGTAACTTCTGTTCAAAGGTAAATTTTAAAAGTAGAAATGTCTACATATATTTCGATTTTAGATATATTGCTTTCTAGGTAATACCATCATAAGGTTTCACTAGGATTTTGCGTCAAAAATAAACAAAGTCGGTTTAAACTCATAATAATGGTTCTCACATCGTATCTCCGAGAAAAATCGATGGGTGACCTCTCGCCCAGCTACTAATGAATCATCACCGTACTAGTTGAAAGCTGAATTCATGATCTCTGTCAACAATGCTTCAGTCACAAATTTCGGGTGTTCGTTTTATGTGAAACGAACATATAAGACCGACATTTAGTGACTGAAGATAACGGAATGAAAATTGAGTGATAATATAGCTATGACATTCAAAACTCAACATTTCTACACTATAAAGCTGCAAATTCTTGATCGTTCTGATATAAGATATAAACGTCAAAGTCGGGATGGACAACATAGGATATGAACACTTCATGTACAGATATGGACTGGAAGAAAAAAACGAAAGTGGTGAGAGAACAATATAACTGTGCGCCTTCAAAAACATAGTTGTAAGCGGCAGTATTTATCCCATCAGTACATACACGAACCTACATGTGATTAACCGGACTATACTACAAAAAGCCAGGTTGATCACATATGCATGAATTAAGAATTCAAAAGGTCCATCTAAGACGTGGAAATAAAGAGAGGAGCTGATGTACATTTGAATCACCACGTGGTCGGTGGTTGCCAAACTGAAACTAAAGCTCCCAAAATATTGGACAACTGGACAAGTAGCTCTAGAATATTTTGAAAATGAATATCGTCTAACCGATGCTGATTTTCTTAGACGATTGTCTGCAGAGATGTTGCGCATCACTTCAGTAAGGTCTCAAAAGAACAACAAATACTAGTAGACCTCACAAAGTACTAAAGTGAAGAGATCTCATTAAGCGTGGGAACTACAATGGGACCGCACTATTATCAGTACTAGAAAAACGTCAACAGAGTGTTGCTGAAGAAAAAGAAATATCCAGTAGACTCCAAACCTAGGGATTAGCAAGCTGGCCTTCGTATAAATCGATCACGCGCCAATGAAATCCGAACACTACGGATCATTGTTGAACAATTAATCCGATGGAACTTATCTCTGTAGACCGATTTCCTTCATTATGGGAAAGCATTGGACAGTATGCACAGAAAAATCTTGCGGAACGGACACTACTAAGTATCTAGGATGATCACCGCCATTTTATGGGACTCCTATCAGGGGCTACATTGCAAAGTCATGCATGGAGGATAGTTCACAGATTCATTCCAAGTGAAGTGACTTGGTAATGAAGACCTTCAAATCTCAGGAGGTAAATGAAGTACAGTGAACACACTGGATGCAGCTGGACAACTTGGACTTTGCAGATGACCCAGTCCATCTATTCCACACAAAACATCAAATGAGGAAGACAAGCAGTATAGCAGTAGCCTCTTCAGAAGTAGGCCTGAATATTCACAAGGAAAAGTACCAACCAAGCAACGATTGACGTAGAGTCTTTCAAGATTGTAAAAGCCGTCACGTACCTAGGCGGTTTCTTTAATAAACAAGGGGGATCTGATGCAGGTGTCAAGTCACAAATGGGCAAGACAATGGCAGAATTACTGTAGTTATGGTGTATCTAAAGCTTAGAAGAATCCACTCAACACAAACACCAGCACCAAAACCAATTCAGAGTTATTGGGAATGACACTGAAGAAGTCCTATTATACGGAGCTGAAACCTGGCGAACCACCACCACAATCACGAAAACGGTACAGGTATTCACAAACAAATGTCTACCCAAAATACTCCAGAACCATTGGTCAGAGACCATCAACAACAACCTATTTGAACAGAGAATAAACCAGATGGCATTTGAGAGAGTAATTAGGAGAAGCTACTGGGTTTTATTAGATAAAACATATATCATGGAAACCATTCGACTGCAGCGCAAGGCGAGCTCTAACTTGCAATCCTTAGGAGAAAAGGAGAGGTTGCAGACCAAAGGACGTTAAAAGCGTGAATAGAACTTGGCAACAACTTGAAAAGAGAGCCCTGGATGGATCCTGTTGAAGGTCAGCGGCCTCTCTCTCAAGAGGGTTGAGTATCTATAGGGAACTACAACTATCAAAACTACTTTCAAGTTATGTGATGCTACTCAATTGCTATATAAGTAGTTTTGAACAATTTTTAAAACTTTAAGACTGATGAACGAAGACAGACCATGCAAACTAGTTATTTCTAGAGAGGTATTTCATTTTATTATAAAATTGCCTGACTAACTGCACTGAAAAACGAATAAATATAACTTTCTCTTTGATAGTTGGTAATTAACTAAGCTAAAAGTGTTTATAGAAGATCTCTGAAAATCTACGTATTCAGATCTTTAACTCACAGTATACGCATTAAGAACCGATTCAATTATATAAATGCCGCTGTTTGTTTATGAAGCACTTGCAATATGAAGATGAGATTTAGCTAATCTTCAAAGACGGTACAAAGAGTCAAAAGAGTATCAAACTAAAACTGGTTTTTGGACCAGTCATACGGACGATGCACATCAAAAGTTTTTCACTGGCATAACCCGAAAATATTCAAATATTTGGTTTGTTGATTGGTTGGTAGGTGATTTGTGTAGATAACAGAATCTTCCTCTGATCCGACCTTTGATTTAGCAATCGATTTAATCATCTATGGAGTGATCGATCGATTCATATAATTCTCCATTTTTCCTGTCGTTCATCTTTTATTAGAATCCTGAGTACATTTGAAGTGATCTTAATTTTGTCATTTAACTGTTTTTAATCTCGTTGAACAAGAAAATTTTCAGACACTTGACAGTAACACAGATGCTGCTATTAAATTTCAGATACACAACAGCAAATTTTTTGATCCCACTATAATAAGACAAGCAGTACTGGTTAATTGCTATTCTGACTTTATTATTTAGTGCAACTGTAGCGACTGCTGTAGTTCCGACTCATATTCAAATACAGTAGAATCTAAAATTTAATACATAAAGAGCAAGCCAAAATATTATGTCTACATGAAGAAATTAAAACACTGTGATTTAATCAATTCTAAGTACTCAATGCGTGAATCGAGAAAGGATCATGTAAATAAACTGGATTTTAAAAATCAAAATTTCCAATCTACCTCAAATCTTTGTAGACAAATCAATGGGAGTACTAGTAGCAGGAGAACAAAGTGTGGTCATCGCGAAAATTCTACTTCGTCTAAAAATATGTACAAATTAGGTAAGTTTATTCAAAAATCTCTCCACAGTGCTTTAATGTTTACTAATAGTTATTTAACAACAAAGAATATTTGGGCGCACATTTATTTTCAATAACTTCATCATCAGGCTTTACAGTTATATGTCCATAATTTACAAAGGCCAAAATAAGACATGAATTTATGAATTCGACAATGTTATATGTCGAAAATGGAGAACATTTGCGTCTGTTACGGCACATATACCTCGAAACTGTGTTATTTGTAAGTTAAAAAGTTCATATAAGAAATTCACTTGATATTGTTTGCTTGAATCTTCCCATTGATATTTAGGACTGCAATTGATCAGTCTCTTATTTGCATATGTGCATACTGTGTGTATTGCCTCGATATTGCTTTAAGTCACAAGCATTATAAGCAAGGATGGATGGTGGCTAGCAGTGGAATCCAGGACGCGCGTTTCGTCTTATTTGGGGCTCGTGAGCTGGATGCACATATGCCAATAAGAGACTGATCAATTGCAGTCCTAAACATCGACCGGAAGACTCAAGCAAACAATACCAAGTAAATTTAAACTTCACCCTGTTTCATAAGCTGATGGTTATCAGAATTCAGTAACTAAGTGGACAATGCGATGGCGTTTGAGGCGAACGGTGCTGGGTTCGAGTGATGGAGTGGATATCAACTCTGAGATGCAGGTACATCCAGCTGACGAGTCCCAAATAGGACGAAACGCGCGTCCTGGATTCCACTGCTAGCCACTATCCATCTTTGTTTCTAGTCATCTAAAAAAGGTCAGAATAATTTGTGGTAAAGGGTCAAGTTATAATCAATATGATAGTAGTACAATAAATCGTGTCAATAAAATGCATTGTAAGAGAATTTCGTCTTTCTAGTCGAGGTGATAATAATAGCAATTATAACAATGAATAACAATAACAACAATAGCTTGTGAATACATTATATTATAATGGGAATGTTGCAAGGTAATGATGATAAAAAAATTCATGTGAATTGGAAAAGATAAATGTGTAGATTTAGAAAGATAAAAAAAACACAAAAGGAATTGGGAGGAGGGGAGTAAGAGGTTTATAATGTCTAATTTAGGTATCTGGTGATCCAATTGTGAACCAAGGTAAACACAGAGGCTGTATGTATCTCTTCTGGATACATAAGTGAGGTTCTGGAGTTGATGCAGATGGCTTCACTTATGCAGACGAGTCGTAATCTAGCTCCTTTAGGTAGATTATTTGGAACTTAACACAAAGCGGGAAAAGCATTATCTATTTTGATATGATGCTCATTATCTACCAAGCGAGAAGGAATGGCGCTGTTTATAGATTTAGTGACTCCTGTCTCTGACCATGCTGGTACTTAGGAATCAATTCTGTGGTTAGACTTGATTGTTTCAAATAAACTGAGCACCGGGTAGGAAGTTAATGATAAATATATTTTTGTCATATCCCAATTAATAGAAAAGTTGTATTTCTGACGTTTCGTAACCTAATGTAAACCGCTTCTTCAGAGTAAATAAATAACCGAATTAATTCGGTTTTTTCTACTCCTTGGGGCATAACAAAAAATATATTTCTTACATGTTCACAAAATCTCAAGGATCAAACCATCTGTGTACGGCTGTTGTAACAAGCTCCACAGGAGAAGTTGAATTGATATACACATATAGAGGAGCCCATCATCGGTAGCCTATCCTTGATTTATTGTGTAAGTACTGGTTTGTTTGAGATTGCATGTAACTTGGCGGTGTGAGATGTTTTTTCAAAAAAATCTTTTGAATAGACTTGTTAAAACGTCACACTCCATGTCCCCTTTAAAATTGAGTTTTAGACAGAGGGTTTTTTTGCTGACCGTGTCCGAGTTTGTTCTTCTTTTACCTTCTGATTGAAATTTTCTGATGAAATTATCTGGATGGCCATTATTTCGTAATATGTTCTTTAGTTTATCTATTTCGCTAACTACACTATGCTTAGAACATAATAGTTAGATCCTGTAGCTGAGACATTTAACCAAATTTATTTTGTATTGAAGAGGTGTAAAGCTATGAAAATTATTGTTTTAACCCGTTCAAGTATTCATGCTAAATATATTTCTTTTTATGGAACCATCTGTCTTGATAGAAAGTAAAACATCGAGGAAAACTATACTATTATCGTTCTCCTCTTCGATGGTGAATTTAATAGCTGGGTGAACGTTGTTGAAACTATTTAACAGCTTTTGTTTGTCGATACTTTCGTCACATACGATTATTATGTGATAATAATGAATAAAAACCAATCGTTACCGAACGACCGATAATCAAGGTACTCATTTGATATAACATTAAAGTTAACGTCTTGAGTGAATGTCAGTGGGATTTTTTACTTTACGTTATCAACCATCAGGTAGGGATAATGTAACTGACAAGCGTTAAATTAATATAACTATCATACTATGGCAATGATAGGTTTACCACACTTTCTGTCTGTATGCAAAAGTCAGAACGGTAGGGCTTGATGACAATGGTCTGTGCATAACGGAGTAAAAGTAGTGTACGTTGTCTGTCAATTATAATGAATGCTTTTGAGATATTCATGTTGAATCCACTATCCATTAAACGTTTGGTAGTCGCACCTGTGAAAACTTTACTTCACAAGGCTTTCGGAACATATCACAGTAAGTTGGTCTAAAGTGAACTGTTTATATAATTATTTATATAATAATGAGTAACTAATAAAAAGAGGACGATAAAATCTAGATAATCATCTTATAGCGGTAATAAAATCCTAGTTCGTTATTATATTTCTCAAAGAGTTGTTTTATATTTTAGCCAAAATGAAATCAGCTGGGATTAAACTTAGTGATTATACTATAGCAATACCATCATATTGTCTATAGAATTCTTTTCTGAACAGAATACGTATATTCATCGTACATCTGAGTATAGATTCTTTTGACTCTTAATGTATGAATCAACCCTTTCAAGGAGAAGAGTGTTTGTAGATAAAGGTAATACATGAACCGATAGCATGAGTTTCTTGTCTGCCTTCAAATTTTTCATTCAGTCGATAAGTTATCTCTCGGTAGTGTAAGGAGAGTTGTTGAAATAGATATAGAAGTCCTTTAAAAACTATTTACAAACGTATGAAGACTCCCAACCTACGTTCCTGTTAAGTTATATGTATGAGTTTCCATATCAATGTCCTTCAGCTTCAAGACAGAGGAACTACTAGTCTATCTGGGAACTCTGGTTACTCATATAAAAATAGTAAATACTATGTCATTTCCCGCCGTGAGTATTAAAAATCCTTTTTTTCACTTCACCACTTTACTAACTGTGAAAATCAAATCCAGGTCTTTTAGGTACTTACTCAACGTCTTCTGTTTAATCATAACCAAGTTCACCAATAATCCTATTGATATCATCACGGTTGACTCAATCGTAGAATTCAAGAAATAATAAAATGGAACGAAATTATTAAATAAGAAATTATCGTAAACAAAACTGAAAGCAGACTTCTAATCCGGAAGAATGCAACGAATATATGCGTCCACTTTAATGTTAGTTGGTTGAAGACAATTCACTAGGATCCCATGGCCTATATTTTGAGTCGGTTAACACTCGTCAGTGGTCCATCAGTGTAAATGCATCAGTCACACATAGAATCAATTGGCTTAAATAACTTAGTGATAAAAGTCTAGGTTATTACACGGGTCCGAATCTCATTGTAAACAGCGATTTCTACAGGATTGCAGGGACTTTATTCTGACTAGTGCTAAAGAGCACGAAACCTGGGTCCCGGAATTCCAGTTATAGAATTTACCGCCAATTCCTCAACTGAGTGTGGTACCGTGACATCCAACAACCCTGGAATCTTGATTAATTCTTATACCTTTATATGCAAATAGCTGTGAATCATTACTACGCTTTATTGATGACCGCAGTTTGGGTTGAACTGAAAAGGAGGCATTAATAATCTGGCTCTGTGTTTTATATTTTTACCAACAGACAAATACTTTGGTATCATAACCATTTAAATTTCCTTATACTTCTGGAATAAGATTCTCGTAGAAGTATTCGGTAAAAATGCTTATAGATAGGTGAATTGAATAAGACAGCCAGTACATATAGAGCTGTCTAACTAGATCCTTTAGTCATCAGTGTTCATCAGTATTTTATAGTTAAGCTGAAGGATAAAATTTAGTGTACTTCGATTTTTATTTTTAATTTTTCACAGACCAGTCATATTTGAAGTCATCTCTAAAGAAAAATATTGATAGTTCACCGTTAACTGACAACATTTTTACAGTCAATATTAGACAGCAAAACCTGTCAAAATCATTGAATTATTCACGTCGCATTATTTCGCCTTTTTCTGAAAGTTCAACAGATAATAACTATGAACTTATTAATTCCACTACATCTTCAGTTTGTTCAAACGGATGTTCAGTTGAAAACTCATGGTCAAATTTATGGCGTAGTGGCCTTCCTGAGCAAAAGTTAACTGTATGGTTACCTAGACGGTATACTGAACAAGGTTATGAACAACTTCAGTGTAGATTGAGCAAAGCTTCAAGTAGCATCAAACTACATCAAATTAGCTTTCCTGATATAAATTTCCTAGAACTGGATAGTAGTTTGACATTGAAGACAATCCAAAAGCTTTCACCACAGAGGAATATGACATCCAACAGTTATTGGGCGTCGAACGCTCGTTGTTCTGGTCACAATGTTACTATCGCTATTAATAACAATAATAAGAGTAGTACAAATAATTCCAGAATTTCGAATAATCTTCATAAAAATGGAGATGTACACCTGATGCACCCTGATAATTCAAATAAATTAACCATAATGGGGAATTCTTATTCTGTCAATAGACCTCCAGATATTAAAGAAAAAACTTTGGCACAACTGTCTCTTATTAGAAAAGAAGAAAACTGCACAGTATCAATTGATTCTGGTGAGTTAGACTATAAAGAGAAGTTTTAACCATTAGTGTATCGTACTTTAGCATATGACTAGAGATAGCTGAATGAAACCATAGTTTACGTCAAACTCGATATCTGTTCACCGTTTTAATGAATCCATAATATCTTATCATATATAAATCGAACTAGTTTGTTTTCATGATCAATCGATTTGCTTTCAGATTACCCAAATTCTTGACTCAACAACTACGCTATGTCAATAATCAAAGTTTGCAGTTCTACCAATACATGTTTTGCTTATATCGTAAGAGATCAAAATTAGCTTTATATATGTTAGGTTGTATCTCATTCATGTTTCTGAAACAACGTGAAACTAAGTTAACCGATAAATTAATCAATATTCACAAGATTAGAAAAGTTGTTTGGATGACCGGAAAAAATAAAACGAAGACAGCCCATGTTTATGTACATTGCCCTTACTTTTTAGATTGATACAGAATATCTTTGATTAAATCTGAAGAATAATAAGCTCTTCGGAAATTGTTAGTATAGGAAGTTGTGGAGATTGTTGAATTTCGTAACTTTAAATCATGAACTGACTTCAGTTAGAGGGATACTGAGAACCTAGAAGAACTGTCCAGCTGTTTTGTCCTGATTTTCGACAGTTCTAAAACTGAAATCTTCTGTTATAAAATAGCATTCCTTGTAAACTGTTTTGTTTGAAGAAGTCAAGCAGTTCGAAAGTTCAAAAAAAAATTTAGTAGCCTCTGTAATGCAATCCATAAAGTTTCATGAAACGATGACAAGGAGAGACAGCAACATGATCAAGATAACTACAATTTCCCTGATGAATCAGACATTTTAATGTAATTTTATTTTAACTAGTGCACAAATATCAGACATCAAGTTATTTCCCAGTAACTTTAGGACAAACTAAATTTCTGTGATAAAATAAATTGGTTTGATTATGCTTAAGGTCGAACGTATTCTGATTCAAATCTACATTTCACTCGAGATTGTGGATATTTATCAAACAGCGACAGACTGTTAGTTACCTAAGGCTTATTTGTTCGATATGTGTAAAACATCAAACGCTATTTTGTGTCGATCTAACGTTACTTTTAATACAATTAACAAGAAGTAATAATACGTTATCAACATTGGATACATCTTGCCCTCCCGGTTAATGATTGCTCAGTATAACATGAATGTTAAAGTTACCTAGATGATTCTTTATTTTCATATTTACTGGAAGGTATAATAACAAGTAACACTACTAGGTAATTTACAATTTAAAACCTTAGATTTGAAAAAAAGTATGTTTTTGAAAATAAATGTGCTATGATTTTGATAAAATAAAAAAATTAACTTGCTAGGAAGTCATAATTATGTTCGTTTGAACTATTGAAATTATGTAATGCAAATATAGTTAACTAATCTGAAATATTGTCAAAAAATTGATATTACTAGCAAGTAATTGGTTTGATTGTTGACCTGAACACCTATTGAAATGGTCATACAGGGAACTGCAAATGAATTAAGTAAAATATACTTGAATAGATTTGTAAAGAAGTGATTTAGACGGAAATAATCTTCAGATTTGTAAATATGTAACCGAATAAAACATTGTTTCAACTTAGTCAAACATAGAAAATATGGATTTCAAATCGTGATTAATTAAACCCTTAATTGAAACCTGCTTAAAGAACAACGTCTAGAATGTGCTTATTTTCTGTAATCAAACATAATTCTCATAACTAAGAAGATCCACAAATTAATGTGAAATTTCTCTTTGCTATTATAAAGCATACTAAATACAAACATGTCTAAATCCCAGCCACAGTCGAAATTATCATGGGTATGGAAAATGTTATAAATTTACTTGTACACTATAAACCGTATAGGTTCTATGTAAAGTTTCAGCAAATTTTCCAGCTGCTTTTTTTAGTTTCGAATAATAATTAGTTTACTGTTTACATTCCTAATACATCTTTTATTACGATGATTCTGTAGTGTGATTTCTGTCCAGATGTTCTCGATTTGTATTATGTGAATGGAATAAATGGATTAATGACCAATGAAATATTAGATGCAAATACCATAGTATTAACCTATTTTTCTAGTATAAGGAATTTTTTGACAAAGATAAATATATTTTCTGACTTCTTAAAGAATATGAATGTTCTTTTTCATGGCTCTTTGGTACTGACCTAAAATATTATTGAATGCAGTAAAGATAAGAAAAATATACAAAAGAAACGAATTAAGAGAGGGAATTAAATTTCCAAATATATAATTATGTATTATTAACATCTACTTTGAATTACATTACTGAAAATTTTAATTAATTGACTTATCATACTTGATCATATGGTGTTGCTGGCTTTTTTGACGAAACGGCCGTTCAGTGCTTCCAGGTTTTCCATGGTGGTCTAGCTTCAATTGACTCATGAATTCAACTATTAACAATCTATTTAATAACTTGTGAAAACACAAATTTTAAATAGAAATAATTATATGCCTACTTAAACAAATATTCCGTGGATTTATCTACTACGTAATTCCTGGAATACTGAACAAACATCACAGATATTACCAGAATAAATTGAAATGATCAATCGATTAAAAAGTGTACGAAACTTAAATATATTTATAAGCCTAATTTATTTATTACTTTGCCAGCTATCCTTATAGCAATACTGAGCTATTTCAAGATTCCCATAATTATCTTCTGTATGTAATCATATGATGTTGTAAAAACAAACCAATACATTACTCAACGTGCTCTCCTCTTGAGCATTATAGAAATATGACGCCTCAACAACTACTTGACACACTTATAAGTATCTGAAATATTCTTCACTCGTTTATGGCTACTTGATATATTTGTTACTTTTACTAAGGTCTAATGATTCATAAATAAGGGCTTAGCACACAACATGATTACATATACATATGAATTAGATATTTCTAAAAGCTACATATTAATTCATATGACGTTATCACATTTTCCTCATGATTGGCATTAGACTATTCAATCAATAATAACCAACATCCATTAGATGTATGCGTCATCTAAACTGCAGGAGAATGTATCAGATATAATGAATGCAATTACAAATTTTTGAAATGTAGTTTAGGCCCATTTGGTAAAACAACAAATTTATTCACCTAATTTAATTTAGGTGAATTGAGATGATGAGATTAAATTAAGCAACTGTGTATAATTTTAATTATAAATTAGGCATACAAAGTGACTATATTTAATCCGGTTTGTAGATTTTAAACTTGTTTCTATCAGATTCCAAACTAAAGTACTGTAAGAATTTTGAGACATTGTGTATTATTTGTCCTTCATTATTGACACAACAAAGAAGGCGAGGTACGTATTCTACTCTCAGTACTACCAACAACCAGTTCGTTAATAACAAAAATGATGATACATTTTTAATATCTCAATGAGTAAAAAATTTAATCTTTGATGTTCGAGTATTAGTGTCAGTTGCTTCTTTAGAGAATAAGTAGCCAAGGTTAAATAGTACATAGGAAACAAAGCAGAATACGTTAACTGAGTAAGAACCCAGAACCGTCAGGTCTCAAAGCAAGAGCTTAGCCTTTAGACCACTGGGATATTGGTTTAAAGTCTAATTTATCATTTATCTTTGGTATTGTCTGCAGACTACTCATCTGTCTCTAAAATGCAAACGATAAATTTATCATCACTAAAAGCACCGTCTGAAACTTTCTTAAACTTAATTATTACTTTCTCAGATCACATCAAATTCACCTTCGAGAAGGAACATGTACTAAGTAAATTACCATTTTTAGGCTGTTTAGTCAAAAGGAATTCTAATAGAAATCTAACAATCTACCGAAAACCTACTTATGCCCTTCGGTACATCGTTCACAACTTTTCACATTCATTTAGTGCCAAAATTCCCCTGGCTCTAAATTCATGCACACGCCAGGAGTAAAACAAGTGGAACAGAAGAATATCATCAAAACTTGAATTTTAATCATCTTCCCAAGAAGTTAATTTCAAATTTACTGAGGCGAAATAATCTATTATTGAATAATAAAAAATCAAATGAAATATCATGAGTTGGTACTGTATTTTCAAACATTCCCATGGTACAACAGAATAACTACAACAAATTATTAAATCACACTGAATTATAGGTTTTTATTAAATAGCTAACACTTCGAAATACTTTAGTTCGAATAAAGAAAAAATCCTTTACACCTCAATGCAATGGTGTCTACATATCAGGACGTGTCGAATCAGATGCTTTTTATGTTGGAGACCAATCCAACGGCACTCGAGGATCTTTAAGTCAAATCTTCATTGTAGTACATGCTGATCTCAAAAGCTATCAAATCAACATTAGTAATATAAAAGTAATTTGAAAATGTTTTTCAACTATAAAGAAAGGTGAGTGGCTGCCCTTTTTATATAAATCATTGAATCCTAGTACTCTCTAGATAGAAAGGCCTAACTGTTCATCCAACTTGGACTATTTATCCAAGCAACCATGCATTGAATTCTGTTCACATCTCACACCACTAATATATATACAAGTAGGTCACACAAAGAATTACATAGCATTAACATGATCAAACTCATTTTGATTAAACTAGAGATACTCTGCTTTGTTTCTTATTTACTATTTAACTTGTATTTATTCAACTGGATTACTTTCATTATGACGCGGAACGTCAGAAATTACGTTTTTTAGTCATTTAGATACTACAAGTTTGTCATAATTTTTATTCTAACAATCTACTAGATCCTAAATTTATTTGAAATTGTCAAGTTAAACCTCAGTAATAATACTTACAAACCAATTAAGCACCATGATTGATTTATAAAATGTTGAGAATTGTAATTTTCACTGATATTCCTTGTCAGTTTAAAATCACTCAGAATCAATATAACTAGTCAATGGATCTAGGTATTATGTATTATTGAACCTGTTATATTACATTCGACATATATCTACCTGATCATTGCTTTCATTTCCTATAGTCTCCAAAATATATAATAGACATCACTGGAAATTTATTCTGTGATTAGTTTTGTTCTAAGAATCTCTACATTGTTCTTGGTTAGGGTTAGGATTAAGGGTTTAAGGTTATGGTTTTTATCATCACCTAACATTAGCTATAATTCGAAGTGCTCTGTAGCCTTTAGTTTTATCGACACCAATAATACCCATATTTTCTAATCGTATTACAGTATATAGATAATGTGATGAATCGATGAGATCCCAAGAAAGCTTGAGTCTCAACAAATGACTTGACCAAGAAATCTAACTCAATCCCCTTATGTTTTATCAACTGGATTAAAAGATCTAAGCAACATGATCAAGCGTTCACTTAATTGTAACCTATTCGCATTACCACAGATTTGTGTACATTTAAGTAATCGAAGAACAAAAGAGATCATTATTTTCAAAGAACTAGAATCATGTGACAATTTTTTTGAGCATCAACATGTGTTAGTCGATTATGATTACTTCCCTTACTTTAATGTCACGATTTCTGTCACGAGTTCAACAAGATTTAATTAATGTATACTTGTAATTATTATTAAAAAACGTGCCTTATATATATATATATATATATAATGAGACACTTGCTTACTAGTTTTACATTTGGAAAACAGTAATCATTTTATGATGTCAAAAAAACAGTGAAATGATAAATTTTTTAAACTGCAATTCTATTAATTCAAATCAGATGAATCCTTTTTATCGTAGAAGTTTTATGACACCATGTGCAAACTGGTATACACTTTACTAAACTAACAGAGAAACAATAAAAAAAACAGCTAGGATATACATTCTCACTTGAGGAGTAATACGATTATTATTATTATTATTATTATTATTATTATTATTAATATTATTATTATTTATTACAATTATTATCAGTATCATTATTGAGAATAACTCTTTATGAGAGAAATAAATTTTTCATATGGATATAAATCACCGACAAATACTGTTATTTTAAAAGAGACTTCATGAAAGATTTACTTACTTAATCTTTTCCCTCTGCTTTCTCCAAACCCTTGTAATTGTTCTTCAGAAAAACCGTTTCTATATGAATATATTTGCCATACAATCCTATGGAATCTTCATTTTACTGAAATCCATCATCTACTATAAATTTTTAGTCTCAATAATATGTTTTACATTTTTAGACTGTTAAACCATATTCCCTTAATGACTGACCACAGAAATTAAGATGAATAAATGTTTCGAGGAAGGTTGATACAATTTTTATTTTTGAATTACTGATTGCATTTTATATTCATTTAGTAGTGATCTAAAGATAAGTCCTGAGTTATAAAAACGCACTAGGTAGACGATACCTGACAGTCTAATTAAACTTATAACACAACATGTAATTTGTAAGTCAGACTATTAAGAATAATTAAAGCAACTAACATCATCATGTGGTTTTTGTATAACAACGTAAAACAGTAGGTACGAGATACCCAATGAGTTGGGAAACGTTTTGACTTTTATAAAAAAACGTACTTTTATCTGGTTTCGTAATAATTAATTTTTCTTTTTTAATAAGCCGATTGTTATCTTCCTTAAGTTTTTTGGTTAAAATGCTTCGGTAATTACATTTATTGTTAAATTAACAGCAACGGTCAACTAGATTTGTTCTGAACCGTTCATATTCTTCATCAAAAGTAGGAACAATATCTAATATTTGACCAAACAGGTTCTCAAACTGAAGATCAGGATCTAAATGTTGTAAATGGTTAGGAATACCACGGAATTTCATACTTAAAATTAATACTCGGAGTTTTTTTTCTTTATCTATTTCAGTAGTCGAAAAACTATAAGTATACCTTTTAGGTTCCGTTGCGAATTTGTTTCCAACTGGTTGATTTTCCTCGCTTTTGAATAACTGGATAAGGTTTTATCTGCTCTCTATCTAGTCACTTGTGTAATCCGGTCTATAAACGGTTTCTTAAAGCCATCTGTAAGCCTTTCAACAGCGAATTTTCTGCGAGTAATGTTCATTTCTATGATCAGCATATCCGAATTAAATAAATTACTTTGGTTCAGTGGATAACGTTCAAATGCTTTAACTTTTCTAAGATGTATTTGCCTAGAACTTGCCTATCACTATGGAACATTAATATAGATTTACAACTGTAGAACATGTTCTGAAAAGAATATTGTTCGTTTATAATGATAATAGTTTCATCAAAGTAGACATGGTTTTATCTTCAATAATTTATCTTGATGTTGAGAAAAAATGACCGGAAAGTGAAGAATAACTTTGAAGACAACAACAAGGACTTGATCATAAATAAAATCTATATTAGTCATTACATTCATACAATAATATAGTGTAACAATAGAATTTAAAATGGAAATATTTAGAGATTACGCCTTATTTTATTACCGTTTATTGTTAACACACTTTGATGGGTTTTGGTAAACTTTTAGGTATTCTATTCAGTCTCTTGTATAATCATACTTTTTCTCAGATTGACAGGTAATTCATAAACGTCTGTCATTCTTTAAACGATTTTCTCAACGAAAAAATACGGCACAAGTTAAAGTACACGTTGTTTTGAGCAGATGAAATACATTGAATCTCTTACAAATTACATGATTTTTCAGGTTGAGCTGCAGTTTTACACGTGATATCAAACTATTAATGATGTATATTTCGTTAAGTAAATACCATTATACACATAAATAGTTTTTCTATTTTATAGTACGCATACACAATATGGAAGTATTTCACTGTCAAATGATTATGGAAATACTAATATACAACAAAAACATCTATTCACTGTATTTGTTCAGGTACCAATGTGAAAGGTTATATGGATCCGATGGTAGGCGCACCAATAGAATACTTAAATCGTATAAATGAACTGTCGAAACTACAGGCGATTACCAAACGTTGGGAACGTACACGATGTCGTCGTCGGGTGAAGAAAGATATGAGCATTAACAAATCAGTTACAGATTCAATTAAATAATTAAATATGATTGTGATACATTTTTTTCTACCTTTTGTAAATTGATATAAATGCTTTAGCATTTAAAAACTGTTTTTCATTACTCGATGTTTCAACTGAGAGTCAGATAACTTTGAGGATGAGAAAACAAACTTTGATCTTCTGAATAACTGCGACGGTTTTTTCTATTATAAGCTAACATATAAAAATTAAAACATGCATCCAGCTTTTGGCTTCTAAGGAGCAGCTTTTCAGTAGTTCCTCAATCCGTCAAAACGAATCAGTTTACACTGGGTGTGTGTATAAGGAACTCCTATAGTCCTATTAGGAGTCTGTGATTAGTTAAATTTTTGATGCCACCTTATCATAGACATATGGTTGGTAAATTTACCGTATCCAAGCTACAAAAATATGATTGGTCAGCAGGATGCTCACCCACTGCGTTAGGCAATTCAGTCAGAAAACGAAGTTTATCGTAATTATAGGATGTAGTAGAGCAATACATTTAGACTAATCTAATTATATATTAATTAGTGGAACATTTAAATAAGAAATAAGTCGATCAAGCTAGATAAGTCCTAATATAAGAACGATAAGGGCTATAAGAAAAAAGCACTGACCACACTATTCTTGGTGTTAAATTGAAATCAGTATTATCAGGATAGGTTTAGTAAACAAAGTGATTTTCGATACACTAAGGTAGGTCGAATTTTTATATGCCTACGACTTCAACAAATCAAAGTATTCTTCTCACACAATTTTTATACAATACTATGAAGGCTGAGTTATCAGTCCTATTACCTGTTTCAACCGTATATTTAGTAGCAGAAAAGAGTAGTTTCGCATCATCCTGCTTTATCGGATTATTTAAATTTATTTGTATTTGTAACCAGATTTCACCACCTTTACCTGCACATCACGATTGCTCCTTTATGTATCTTTAGCTGCACACACATAAGGAATATGACGCAGTGATCTACATGCGGTTATGGAGTTTTGATGAAAACTAAAGATTGTTTTCCAGTTATGATGAGAAAGTTCTGCTTGTAGGTGATATGAACCATAGTCTCACCATAAGCCTATTTCAGTAGAGTGATGCACGTTGGTGCTAAATACATAGCACTTCTCAACATTTTACAGCCTTTCCATCGGCTAATGAATTGTGAGGTAACTTATGTTTTTCGGGTATCCATCTGCTGGCATTAGCATCATGTTATGATCTTACACAGGATTGGATAACATACATTGATTTCCTGTTAATTTCTGTCATGTACTTTATTATTATTAATATTGAAATTTTGTTACTACTTAGGTTTGTCAAGACTTAACGTAATCGTACAGGAATCAGTTGGTGTAGCAATCACTTTTCAAAGTTCAAAAAATAGTACTCAATGTAGCAAATATGTAGTTACAATATGTCCGACAGAGTTCCTGGACTGTTCTGTATTTTCTCTGTCTAATAGCTACAACATCTCAAATAGTAGTTTATTAGTTTTGAAGCTCAGACATCACTTCCAACTTTTTTTCCACCAACTGTGGACACTGAGTAAAACATACTAGAGTATGGTAGTATAAAATATTTGAACTAGTTTATACGAATATTCGTCAAGATTAGAACGAATAGTTTGACAGAAATTGGGCGCCGAGTATAGCGAAGTCATTATATGTTAAAATTATATTTGAAATAATCTCAGCGATTGAAATTTAAATAATTCCAACGTTTCGTCCAGCTAAATTGTCTGGACTTCTTCAGGGTAATAATCAAGATTTTGATTATTATTTCAAATATAATTTCCAAATATATTTGAACTAGTGTTGGAAATTTTGAGGTTGGAATCAACAAATATCTTGTAATACATATATCTGTTTAATCATACTTCCTACCAGGGATCCCATTTTGATTGGGACTCGCATTCGTAATCATCAATTTCGTCAACAATAATATTAATCATTGAATTCAATTTTAAATCGTTGAATAAATTGTTAGGTTGCTTTAGAATTCCTTACGTACTACGTCGACATTATTGAGAGCTAAACATATCAGCGGGTTTCTCCGTGGTTTGAGGAAATAGTTATTGTAGCTTGTGATTCAGTATTGACTGAACCAAATAATAAAGCTATTCTTTCTTGTGTAGCTGATTTGTTCAGATAGTTCATTTAGTCCATTAGGCATGCCATATATAATCTATTAAAAATAAGTAAAATGATTAAAACTTAACCAGGTGGTAAAAATTCGACTTATGTTCGAAATATTCTACAGAGTTCACTAATAAATTCATGAAGCATACTGTTATAACCTGTGTCCTATTAATATATAACTTAATTATACCGCCAAGTAGAGGACAGTGACTTATCGACCGAATAATTGATGCGTAAACCCGTACAAGTAGTCTAGACTGCTTATCGGACCTTCTCCCTGCCTAGCCCTGCCTGTTGAGTCCAAAAAACACCAATCTCAGCCTATGCAATATGAGTCATGTATTTCAAACATACTGTGTTTATATACAAACCAAACAGACCACATTGTGCCATAAAATAGAAAACAACATTTGTACAAGATCTAGCCAAAAGTGACTGTGAATGTGGAAGACTGTAATTAATAGACTGGGCATAACTCAAGAACGGTAAATCACATAATAATAGTCTATGGGTCAAAATAAAGCTTATAATAGGAGGAAATTGAATATGCATAGTTTGGCTACTTAATAATTATACAATAAGAGTGTATGTATCGTATTGATCCATAAATAGTTCTCAAAATTTACCATTCGTAATTCTCATCGGGTTATAACACATACTTTTTGTGTAAATTAGATTATTTGTTCATACGGAACTCATTGTTTATCCTAGGCGTTTTCTGAGCAATTTGCCTTAAAACATACATTTAACAGTGAAGACGTATTGTATGAAATAAAACTAACCAAGTATTTTCGCATCTATTTTTAAAGTACCTTATTAATTTATTGCTAGCTCTATGAAAACAGATATGAGATTGAAATTTAAAAAAAGGATTATTTCAAATAATTTTCTGGCAAAACATATTTGTCATTTAAATCATCTGATCATTTCGAGATTTTTAATGAGATGAAAATGTGTAGTTTCGTTTCATAACGATTATCACCTGAAAATGAAATCGGTAACATATCATTAATGAATGTTGTTTATGCACATTTATCTGTTACATTCAAGCATATGTCTTTTCTTTGATACAATGCTAGACTCATTACAGAATTCCCTCGTCTACACAACGGTTCTTTTTTACGTGTCTGGAATTTTATATTTTAACAAATATTTTGGTCGTTCAAGATATTTTTTATAAAAAAATAGCATTTATATGTATGTTAATTATATGCTGGTAATGTGAATATATTCCAACTACCTCAAATCTAGGAAGCTTATGGTGGTCGGTGTTCGATATATTCCTTAAACTCCGTATACAGTTTGTCTCGGTAACAGTCACCAAATAATGCTCCAACGGTATATTAATCAGAAGGCGAATACGAAGCGTTAATTACGTTTATTAAGGGACCACACACAGATATCCAAAATTACAGATGCGTTAAGCAAGCATGAAATAGTTGTGCCGAAAGGCAAACAGGCAAGCGAGCGAGCGAGAGAGAGCAAGGGCAAGAGCGAGCGATCGAGCGAGTCATGAATATGAATAACATGGACATATATATACATAGTGAAATTAATGAATCATCGAGTCAATTAAGCGGTTAATAGTAAAGCTAGTAGCGTGAATAAATGCGTAGGCAGTAAGGCTTGCCGAGCATACGTATTCATACAAGGATAACAATAATAAAGGTACATACATTCGCAACAGTAATAAGGATACAATAAGTTATTATAGTGCAGGTGACTTTGTCCGTTTAATAAGTTAATAAAAGGGCTTAACCGAAGTAGGTGAGAGCAAACTCAATTGAACATGAGTTGCTATAATAGCTCCTCCCAGCAAACAAAGATACAAAAGTGTCTGTGTTTGCGAAAAAAAATGTCAAATTTAACAAGATGGGAAATATCGAAATTTACGAAATTAAGATATATGATAGAACTATCGTATAAGTTATTAAAAATATGTGTAAGTTTGAGTTGGTATATGTCGTGAGGCCAAATAAGATCATAACGGAAGATCGGAAGAATACATAAAATATGTTGAATATAATAATCGATGAGCTAAAATTTTCGATTTGTACATAGAAAATGAAGATGAAATTTACATTAGAAGAGGTGAAAGAAATTATTAATTCAAAATCGTAGCTATGTATCGTTGCGGCCATCTCACTCTTCGGCCATATCTCGTCGTTACTGGATTTTCTTCGTTTGTGTTGGTCGATGTCGTTGATGATTGGGACTCGCGTTTCGGTGGTTCGACAGTTTTCGCAGTACCTGTATATATTGGCTGATCGTCGGTTTCGATGAAAGCTGGTTTGACTCTGTCGATGCTAATTACATCCGTTTTTCCAGCTTTTTCTATCGTAATAGTTTTATCGTTTCTTTTAATCCCCTTGAATGGACCATCGTAGGCCGGTTGTAAGGGACGCTGCACATTATCCCTTCTGATAAACACATGGGTACTATCGGTCAGTCGTTTTGGCATGTAGACACGATGTTGCTGTTGCCTCGGAGGCGTTATCCTCAGATCACCCATATGTTGCTTTAGACGTTGTACATAGTTGGCTATATGTAACGGGGATGCCCAGGGACTATTAGACGGTCTTACGATACCAAGCTTCATCAATTTTTCGAACTCTCGTTTCGCAATCTTCAACCTATTTGGGTCTAGCCTCCGTGGTCTTGCGTTGGTCGGTGGACCTTTCGTTATAATATGGTGCTGTACAGTGTGTTTAAGATCTCTGTTATCGTATGATGCTCTCGTCAAATCAGTGAACTCATTTAGAAGCGCTCTATATGGCTCGCTTTTGTCTTTTGAGACTACTAAATTCATGGATACGTAATCGGTTGTCACTCCTTTTATCACTACTGAATGATCTCCGTTCACGAGCCGGTTTCGTTGGGTATCCACTAGTAAGTCGAAATTCTTTAAGAAATCAATACCAATTATAGGTACGGATACATCTGCGATGACGAATTCCCAGAGGAATGAAGTGCTACGACCAAAATTCAAGGTTACTTTACGCTTGCCATATGTTTTTATATCGGATTTATT